AAATATTGTCCTATACTAACAAACCATACATCAATGGAAAGCTCATTTACTCAGCTTTTCCATTTTGAAAAATGTACCCTTATAACTGGTTTTGTGGTCCAGGGTAACATATGTTATCTAACATTTAATCTATTTTATTCTGTTCTATTCTTTTTATGCTATTTTATTATGCTGTTGGGTTTAGTGTGTCTGCAGACTCAATAATGACCTCTTGCTTTCATATTTTTTCTGTATTTGCTTTTCTGAACAGCAAATTATTCAAACGTAACAGAACTAGCAGAGCATTTATTATCTTTTAATATTGTATCCATTATACACAGCTAGCCTACATGATGTTGCATTGATGAGTTGATTAAAAAAATATACATATTGGGAATTTGTGTTTCAATTTAATGGAAACCTTTAATAAATAGACTAAATAGAAAAAAATCATTTGCCCTTGTGAAGGGAAAAATGCTCCTGAAAATCAGGTCCAGCAGACCAAAGTGAATGTCTGACACTGGTAGACAGTCGTGCTCGTATCTTGTGGCGTCTTATTTTTTCTGCAGTCAGTGAGATTGACTCTAGCAAATGCCTGTGTGTTTGTTTGTAAGGCGTGCCATGAAGCGGCCCGCACAGCTCTGCTGCCCATTTCAGAACACCTGTGTCATCACTAAGACCAACAGGAAACAGTGCCAGTCCTGCCGACTCCAGAAATGCTTCTCAATCGGCATGAAGCGGGAATGTAAGTTTGCTTGAGCCTTACTTTCCGTGTGCCCGAGTCCCTAAGAAAGCTGCTCTCACACACACGGCGGTGTGATGAAAGACACAAATGTTTGATTAATGGTTATGTTTATTAGCTTACTAATTGTAATCAGAATGATGAACGGTTCTTCTGTCAAGTTCTTATTGCAGATTGAATTAGTCTGTAGGCTATGCATGGTTGACAAGCAACAAGACAGTTTGCTGTATTAATATAAAATTGTGCGTTCACCAGCATTAAACATGTTAAAATTTGTTCTGCACTGCAGATAATTTCCTAATCACTTAATGCAACCCGGTCGACCTTAGCTCATTTTCTTGCATGTGTAATATAATAAGCATGTTTAATGTATAATACACTACTGTTCAAAAGGTTGGGGTCAGTAAGTTTTTTTTTT